CACGTTGCTTAAACCTCTGGATAGAGAGAATGTAAGTCACTATCAGTATTCCTCAAGTTATCTTAATGTTTCAGACATCTTCTTATCGTCTTATGATTCGAGTTGATGATGGCTCTTGGACTATTCGAACGAATGCCATGATCACAATCGATGACATCAACGATAACTCTCCTGTTTTCGAACAAGCCGAGTATTTCTTCCTCATCAAGGTAATCATACACTTTATAGAAGCCTTAATGTCATGCTCTGTATAGGAATCAACTACAAATCTGACTGACAAGCATATAGTAATTGCTACTCTGAATGCCACTGATTCGGATTTTGGTGTGAATGGAGAGATTCGTTATAACCTCTATCGGGATAGTTCATACATCACCATTGACGCTGAGACTGGTCAACTGAATCTGATTAGCTACCCACTTGGCTTGATCGAAGTTTTGATCATTGCAACGGATAATGGACAACCTGCTCTTTCTTCTAATTGTACTGTCAAGATACTCTGGCAACCAGTTGCTTCGGCTCGTCCACAGAAATCGCTACTCGCCTTCAAATCATCAACACCTGATGTAGCGATTGGCAGAATGACTGATATGCATGAGGTTCGTTTTATCTGAAGTTCATGATATAATTATATTTAATTTCAGATACTTGGAGTTTTCCCCACAGATGTTATACGTGTATTAAACAAGAAGGATATCCATTTGGTTCACAACGTCACTTATCAACAGTTCCATCGGACACAACTGCATTTGATTGCATTATCCGAGTTCAATGAGCTTATCTATCAACCATTGGAATTGCTCGTATCTGATGAAATAGTCAAGCCATCTTTCCCTGAAGAGAGGTATCCTGTAATAATTGATATTGTTTTACATTTACTTTCTTCAGAACTGTTCTCACAATATCTGAATCTGCACCGGTTGGTTCCGAATTGATAGCACTAGATGCTTCAGCTGGTAACCCTCTGCTGAAACAAACTCTTCATTATGAAGTTTTGGAATCTAACCAAGCTTTCCGTTCAACTTCCTCGGGACTTGTCCTTCTTTCTTCTCCTAATCTTATTGATTATGAAAGTCATAGAGTTGTAAACATGACTGTAGAAGCTAGTTCTGGAGGATACTCTACTGTCATAGCATTAGAAATACATATCTTGGATGACGATGATAACGTTCCAGTGTTTGTTGTACCCACCATGCCTCAATTAGTAAGTTTGACATTTCCTCTTCTACTGTAACTTCATGAATTCTAGGTAACATCAGAGCATGATCACATCTGCATGCAAGCAGTAGATGCTGATTCAGATTCCTTTGGACTTGTCGAATTTGTTACTGCATCTGAAGATATACAGCTTGACTCAGAATCTGGCTGCTTCAAAGTCATCTCGGCAAAAAAAAGTTTCCAAGCTGAAATTTCTGCTCTCAGTGGAGAAGACACTTTATCTACCTGCATTGTCGACGTTGTAAATCTTGCTCAGAAGGTCGAAAAAGGAAAGAACTCGAATGAGAAAAAGCTTCTCATCCGTCGCGAAGTATGCACTGCCGCTCCAAACAACACTCTCATATTGGAAGTCTTTGATGATCATTTCATATATATGGAACCAACCACAGATGCTTATGTGCGAAAAAGCAAAGAAGTTCTTTGGGCCGGACAACACTATGACCATTCCATATCTACTAAAAGCTTCCCACTGTGGGAGTTCGAACGGTTCACTCGAAAAGTTAGAGAGGTCCTTCTGGAGGTACAACTCAACTCTTACATTGCACCTGCTCCAATCTTTGAAAGAAGCAACTATTTCTTCGATGTAAAACTGACCCCTCACAAAAATTTGGTGGTTCATAACTTCAATTGGATCTTACCAACTGACTGCCGTGCGGTTGTCATTGCTCAAAATGAAATCATCCCCCCGTTCTGTCTCACAACCGATGGTACCTTGCGAGTTTGTCGGCAGATCTCAGCAGTTATGTATGCTTTAACATTAAAGGTAAGTCCTGTGACATCTGAATACTTATTGTTTTGTTCTCTTCAGATATATCAAGGAAACGCTACTGTTTCATCAGCGTTCGTTGAAGTCAGATTCAATGAGTTGGAAGACAAATCAGCTATTTCTCAAATTGTCTACTTACGAGAGAATATCAGAGATCTCGATATCATTCAGTTATCTGATACGTCAAATGGATTAAGAATCAATGATTCTCGTCTTTCACAGGTAAATTAGTTCCTTCATTCATTTACTGAGATTTATTTTCAGAATTTCGCGATACTGAATAATGGAATGCTTGTAGCCACTGAGGCTTTCGACAGAGAACGATTGGGTGTTTACCAAATACCAATCGTTTCCGAAAAGAATGTCAACGTCTCTCGGAAAAGAAGCATTGTTGTCATTGTTGACGATGAAGTTGATTCTCCAGATGTTGATAGCTATGACGTTCAAGTTATTGCCATCGGAAAGTATGGCATCGAAGGAAATGTTCATCCTGCTTCAACAGATAGTAGTAGAGACTTCAAATGTCTCTCCATCAATCAAGCCGAGTTTACTGTGAACACTTCATGCTTCCTACGTTTGGTAACAGATGAACACAAAGTCTCTTCAGTCTCTTTAATGGCATCTGATGGTTTAATGCCCTACAAGTATTCTGTTTCGTGGAAAAGACTATTACCATCAGCAGACCAAATCAACGCTTCTGAACACATGGTTGCCGTGAATCTGCTTGGACCAACAGAAGGCGTAGCGGAAATGCTTTCACTGTTACAAAGTAGTTATCCTGATTTGACGATTCTCCCTATAGCTATCGTTACCAATTCTATCGAGAACCGAACTGTCGTTCTGTCGATACAGGATCGTCATCAGAATTTCCTGATTGTCAACGACGCACTGGCTGTTATCGACAAATTCCAACAGAAGTCCAGTTTGAACTCAGTTCTGTTTGGTCCATTCTGGTCGTTATCCAGCTTATGTCAATTAGAGGAATGGTCATGTCAAACGGATTATCGATGCATACCCTCAATAGTGCTTTCGGATGATGTCCAATCTTTCCGGAGTTTATCAACTGTTTGGTTACTGCCCCTCGGAAGTCTACACACCAGGTATACTCAGATACTGTAACTTTTAAAATTCCGTTTTTCGTACAGATGCGAATGTATTCGCCCTAATGGTTGCCGAAGGATGAAAGTTAAACAAATCACTCATCCCGATGTTGTGTTGCCCAAAAACAAAACGACTCCAGCTCCGATTGAGAAAGATTCGTGTTCTACTTACGATTGTGGGAAGCACGGACGATGTGTAGAAACATCGACAAAGAAAGTTATGTGTCATTGCGACGGAGGATATACAGCTGATAACTGTGACCAAGGTGAGCTGGTTCTTTCTTTTTATTTAATCATTGACTATTTTTAGATGAAGCAGCAACTACTCTATCTTCTTCACTTCATGTCCTGCTCAAGCCAACATCATTATATCGTCATTTAGTTGACGTGGAAATTCCGAATCGCAAGGCTTCACCCAAGGCATCTTTATCTCCTCAAAGCTGTGAAGATGGACGAGAGCAAATCGAGATGGATTTCAAAACAGATACCGATCATCTATTTCCTCTTCTTACTCTGGATTATGGGGACATCAGAGCAATAGTACAACTGAGACACGCACAACTCGTCTATATGGTTACCGATGGTTATCGAAACCCTATCGAAATCGCTCTGTCTCCGATTGTTGCTGATGATCTATTCCATACATTCAGTCTTGAATTGAGTGCTGATCGAAAAACAGTAAGTGCTAAGTTATAATTTTTATATCATTGCCTACGTTTTAGATGACATTCCAAGTTGATGGGGCTGGCAAAGAAGCTCGCAGCATGAAACCAATGCCGGAGCTACTCTCGAAATCATTGAAGAAAGTTATCATTGGGTCCAGTCTGAAGAAAATGTAAGAGCTCTTTCACGTACAGCTATTGATCTTGTCCATTTAGGGAAAAAGCTCGTGTCGTTGTCAAGAAACTACTAATCAACAGACAATTACAATCTATGGATACATCCACATCAGCTCAACAGGTATGTCCAGAATATGTCAACTTACCTACTGTCTACTCTTCTTCTAGTATTTCGTTGCTGCTGTTTTTGGAAAACCTTCCGATCTGTCAGCCTTATCAAATGAATCTCCCAGCTCTGGAAGCTCAGCCACATCAACTCAGTCATCGTCTTCTTCCTCTTTAAATCCCGGAATCCTGGCTTCTCTTATTGGGATTAGTGCTCTTGCAGCTTGCATACTGTTAACATTGGTAGTCTGGAAGATTTGGAGCCGTTTAACTACTGATCCCGATCCAACAGTCTCTTCAGGTGGTTGGAAACCAGCAAAGGTTTGTTCAGTTTTCTGACTCCACTTCATATGTATTTCTCTTTTAAGGAGTTCCGAACATTCCCCAAATCCAATGAAGGCTTACCTTTCGAATCAGTTCATCGTATGACTAACTCATCCATGTCGTCGTCGTTGAAGATGACATCAGGCTCTTCAGGACATTTCAATACAGCCATGACGCTATCTGTGACATCCTTGCCCAAGTCCGATGACGGTTATGAAGTGCCAGTTCAGCCATATTCGGATACTCATAACTCTCATATGATCTATCACGGGTCTAGAAGAGATATCTCTCCCAAATCTTCTAGCGCACATTATGATAATTCTTATTATTAGCTTGAAATTGCCCATGTTTGTACTTAATTGTTGTGCCGGTCATCCGATATTTCTTGCTTCTCTAGTCAAACTTACGTGTTCGTTACCCTTAGATGTTCTAGTTAAGATGCTTTAAGATGTTTTATATTCGATGCTTTAATAAAGATTTAAGAATTTTCAATCTCATCATGATTCTCCCAGTTCCTTTCCGTTCATACTTTCTATTATCTTTATTAATTTAAAACATTGGTTATCACAATTACCCTTTCGATATGAGAGATCACAAGGTGCTTATCTTAAGATGACCGATCAGAGAGAGAGAGAGATGAGACTTATTCTACTTCTGCTCACCCGCTTTTTGGCATTTTTGGACTAAATATCGCGAAGTAGCCATGGCTATCTCTCTGTCTTGCATGGATAGATCGATGTTCTGACTTTGCTCTATTGTCCACTCCAACCAAACTTGAGCTCTTTCTCCGAAAACAGTAATGAACAGCTGAAGAGGAAGATGTTGTCATTAATAAGAGCAAAACATACCTCGTCAGACATGGAGTAAGCTATGGAATAGTAACAGAACATTACTGCCGCTCTCACATAGCATTCATCGTGATACTTGAGAGGAGATACCAGTTGATCCAAAGTTCTATATGAATGTTTGGGAGGCCAGATTGTGATGTACTTACATAGTCATGTTTAGGATGTTCGGAGAGAAACAGGCCAATTGAACGATTTCTCCCACTGTGTGTAAGATTCTGCTCAAGAAAGCAGCATCTTTCCCCTCAAATTTGACTTTGAATAGCAGTGTTCTTCTTCACTCACTTTCAGTTGCAAATGTTCTCCTGTTTGACTGCGCAGAAGAGGGTAGAAGAAGGAAGTAGCTACGCTAGTGAATCTGTTAACTTTCGTCTTCACTTCTGGCTTCTTGCTTGTGAAATAGCGCGTCTTAGCCTTGATTCGCTCATCCACGATAGACTTGTAATCAACCTTCTGCTGAACTACTGTTACTCGACGATCTGCTTCAAATGTAGCAAACCTGTGAAGTATTAGGAGGGGGGTAGACCGAAGGAGGTTCGGAAATATCCGATAAATCTTTGCACGCACATAATATGGAGTCCAGTATGAGGTATCTGTAGGGCGAATCAATCATTTGAAGTTCACGGATTCAGAATACCTGTAATAGAACGAACAGTTCTGTGAAAACATGACATCACATAATCCTGGTGCAAGGTCTGGGAGGACAACTAAGCAGGAAACTATGCATTGTTGTCTGATTTTCTAAACTTTGGTGAGTGTGTCTACACTTTGGAAACTACCTCAAAATCTTTGGTACTGAAGGTATCGCTCAAGAAGACCAACTTCCCTATTAAGGTGGTAGCGATGTCACGTAAGCCGAGTGATTTCTTGCGAATAAGGTCATTGAGAGCGAGGAATGAGGCTTCAAACACCTGGTAGAAAACGGTGCTTACATAGCTTCATAACTTCCCTACCTCATATTGCTTCTGCTCATTAAGATTCTCCATACAATCTCTTATGTAACGTGGGGCAACAGCTTTCTTCTCTGGCTCCTCACCACAGGTCAACTATGATTCAGACTCATGTCAATTTCAATGGAGACAACTAAAACCTTTTCAAACTGCTTTTCACCCTCGGGAACATCGAACCCGAAGAAGTCATCTTCTTCATCATCACTATCCAGCATAGGCTTTTCAGGAACATCAGGCCTCTCAGGGAAGATGTTCGCTACAGGCAGAACCTTTTGCGTTTCGGGTTCGTCATCAGTTTCATCAGAAACAACTCTAAGAGAAGGAGTGCAATGATTTATCTTTTGAGCTCACTTTTTCATTTCTCTATACCAATCATCTTCTACGAAGTCGAAGACCAAAGGTTCCTCCGGTTTCTCTTCTATCAAAGAAGCGAAATATTGACCGAAGAACATACCCGATTGTTTGATGCACAAATCTAAAAGATGCCAAAGTCTTACAGCTAATAGTGTTCTCAGACCTGGCGAAGAGAGATGCTCGTGAATACTGGAGATCACATCTGGGTAGAGAGAGCTGAAGGTGCTTCCAGAAACAGAGTTATTTCTGAAATCATGTTGCATATTGAATGCAGGCGATAGTCGGAACCTCATAGTTTTGATAAACTCCAAGATCGTTCTAGTCATATACTTCTGTTGTTCCAACGAGTTACTCCTCACAGAGGAAGTGGAGCCCCAAATATGGATCAGTTTCTAAGAACAATTGTTCGTATGAATCGATAAGGCTACTTACGCGTAGAGTGGTGTAAAACATTTCATTGGCGAATTGGAAAATGTAAGAAGCTAAAACTTTAGGAACATGGTTAGGGGCTACTCTTTGGAATATCATTCTGGTACAGCATACTCTTTCAACTGTCTTGCATCGCGAAATGCTGAGTCCAAGTAAACCCTGGAAGCTTAAGTGTACCAATGGAAACGAAATCTACTCTACTTTCAGCATTTCAATGTTCTTGGAGAGAAGAACTACGTGAGTTAGTAAGGATTCAGACTCTCTCACACCCTTAGTATCATCTACGAGCAACCTTTCAGCAACGCGCTGACCAATAGGATGATTACAGCAGTTCTCATATATCCATGGAACCATAGATTCCAGAAGTGGACGATCCTGGAATTTTGATTTATTTGTTTCCCGTGCCTTCTCTCATGTCCACCTTGCACATCAACGATCTGCTTTTCGAGAGTAAGAGGGACATTATCCGCAAATTGACATCCCTTGAGCTCTTCACTTCTGTTATTGAGTAGAGAATAGCATCACATATAGCTGATTGAATGAACTCCTGAACAATGGTCATACAGTATCGAGTGAAGAAAATTTGTTACATCTATCGTTCTACTCCATGCAGAGTACTTGTGATCAAAAAGCTTTAGCTTCAAAGCGCAATTTCCCAAAACGTCTTTGGTACTCACTAGAACTTGAACTAACTCTACGTATCTTTCATATGTGAGATCTGAAAAGACGATATGAATGCTTGATTCCTCAGCGTCTAACCGTCATCTGGTTCAGCTTTCACGGAAGTTTTCAGAATTTCAGTGAGATTCTTTTTTAAAATTGATATGAAAGTATCGATGATGTCTTCATTAGTTTGCGCAGTTCTCAGATTTGAATAGAGACAGAGTATGGCTTCGAGTCTGTCCCCACTCTCGAAGAATTCCGTTAAGACTTGTGCAACCTAAAATGGCAATTCACATTTGCCGCAGAGCCCTGTTCACCTCATTCGAAGTCAGTAAACGAAAGAAGGTTTTCGAATTTTGAAGTGCTGCTATGAATATCGTTCTCGATTGTTCAGGATTGCTTCTCAACTCCTTCAACTCTGATTACTCTTGCTTAACACATAACAAAACATACATTCTTACAATCCGCAAGAACTTGTTGCAGAGTTTTACGTTCTTTCACCTCTTCTAGTCGACGACCTATGTCTTTCATACTTCTAAACTCTCAAAATTATAACCTATAGTTTGAAAAGAGGGTTAACTATATGATAAAGCTAGCAATAGAGGAAATTAGAATATTTTAGAATTTTCCATGTGAGACTTGACCTCCAGTAGACCTTTAACCTCCAACTTGTATACATAATTACAGAAGTAAGAGACTTGTTGCTTTGGGGAAGGAAGAGTGTGCTTGAATAGAAATCTAATTTAGACCTACTGTGTTTTCAATATCTACAATACTTATTTTCATTCTTCCACGACCTTCTTCTTTCCAGAAACGAAAAAGCGGAAGGTCCTGACGTCATTGTGGTCAGTTCATACTTCTGTTCTGGTAAGTGAGTAATCAACACAAGCAGATGATATTCTCTGTATGTTGTAGGCTTTTCGAGGAATGGACAGAGTCTTATATTTCAGACTTTAATTGTCTAAATAGTTGTGATCGGTAAAATTTAATAATAAGCCTTTCAAAGCGCGTTTTGTAAACAAAAATATATCATAGTTGTCTCCCTTTGTAAATTTATTTGTAAAATGACAGCAGCAGCCACCTTTTGGGATGTTGCTGAACCCGTCGTATTGTGTGATGAAATCGGGTTGTACTTGTGTTCCTTAGCCAAAGTTATAATTTATGTGAAACTTCAAAAGGTTTGCCAAATCAGCTCGTTATATCCACTTACCTCTATGTCTTAGATCCTTGTGCCTGGCCAATCCATCTCTAACTGGGACATTATTGAGAAATTGAAAAAAGCGGTTAATCCTATTCAGGTTCACGAGCTGCTCATAGTCACAGCTAATCCACTTCTTTCAGCTTTTTGCGATCAAGGTTACTGATAGTACATTGGAAAGTGTGACATTCGAAGCAGAGTTGATCTCTCAAGTCATGATGTTCCAAGTAAGGTTCAGTTCTCAATCGAAATAACCTCCCTCCTAGGCACTTAGAATATTCAATGATATGAAGATCAAAATGAGCGGTTTCTCTGAGCCTTTCCTGGTTTCGGCTGAAAAAGCTGATAGCGGTTTTCCGACGTAAGTTTGATGTTTGCTTCTACTTACAGTATGCTTATATTTGACAGCTCTGTTTCCTGGGATAAATACTTTCTGAATAGAGGAGACATGAACACCCCCGGTCGAAGAGCAGACACCATCTACTTAGCAAATATACCTTGTAAATGGTTCGCCGTAAGTGATAATCTCAACAATACTATTTTTTATGGAGAATTTTTCCAGGAAGACGATTCAGCTAAGCCTTCCGAGACTTTATTGAAGAAAGCTTTGTCCAAATATGGAAGCATCCGTGCTGTAGATATTCCAAACAATGATATTGATCGCTTGTTGTATCCAGTGAGCATATCAGGAGTCAGAAGTAAAAGATTCTCTTTCGATCAGGTTTTACTCAAACTTTGAGTTCAAAACTTATGGTTTATATCTCAGGACCTTACATTCGAGTGTTATGTTCAGTATGAAGAATGTGAAGGATTTGAAAATGCTATGAAAGGGTTGAGGGATATGAAATGGTTCAAGAAAACGGAAGAAAAAGTGTACCAGGCCAATATTAAGGTAAAGGCTACGATATCGAGCTTAGTTTCCTTGATGGGTTACTTCTTCAGGTAGAATTTGACAAGTCATTCCATCTCAGTTCGGAATTGATCAAGAAAAGAGAGTCTTTCAAAGAAAATATTGTACAAATGAAACTCAAAAAAGCTGAAGCAGAGAAGCAAAAGCTGTGAGTCCTTCAGCAGGGGAAGTTCAGGAAAATCCAATTTTTCAGAGCAGAAGAGTTAGATAGACAGCAACGAGAAAAGGAAGAGAAAGAGGCGGAATTGAAGAAGAAAGAGGAGAGAAGAGTTTTGAAGGTTTTTTTTCACGTTCGTTCGGTGGTCAAAATTATTTGTTAAGAAGGAGCTTGACAAGAAAAAGCGAGAGGAAGACGAAGATAATCGAGTAAAGCTCGAAGAAATGAAGGTAAAGAAGGCGGAGAGGTTAGCTCAGTCAGAAAGGCTTCTTGAGGATGTTTTCGATCGTCTTGATGTGAGTTATAAGGTTGTTAGTTAGATGGCAATGATGTTTTTTTCTAGGAGAGAGAGAATATCAAGAGACTCAAGGAATTGAAAGACAGAAAAGAAATGAGAGAATTGACTTTCGATGATCAGATGGACGCTTCTGCTAAGGAAGAGAAACTGCGCAAGCTGTTGCTTCTTCAACAAGAACAGAAAATGAGAGAAATGGTATTAGCCTCATGAAGTATAAACTAAGTAATCAAAAATTCAGTTGAAGAAGAAGCTCTCTCGGCGGAGGTCCAGAAGTCGTTCCTCAGATTCTAACAGTGAGTACGAGAATAGAAGGCGGAAGAAAAAGAAGAAGTCTTCACACAGACGAAGTAGGTAAAACCTGTTGCAAGATAGGGACCTTGGTTTTATGAAAAAAGTGAACATTTTCGAGAATTTATATTTCTCTCCGGATGTTTGTAATAATGTATTCAAAGCCTACTGTAATAAACTATTTTGTTCCTTTTTGGTAGCTCTACAATTTGACAGTTGCACAACATTCACCCATACTTCTCACCGATCACTGAAGTCATTCAATCCTTGTCTTTTTTCCTTTTCGTTGTAGTTGGTTGGAATTATGGCTTTCTTTTGTTTCCTTTCGTTTCTGATTTGCGGGAGTACGTGGGGTTGTCTGGTTGCATCACAGTTGAGCTGTGAGCTTGGAAGTAGAGAAAGGATGGTGAGATCTCCTTATCATTTTATATTTTTAATACCAATGGTTACCTCTATTGAGAGTCCCCTTTTGACTGTATTTTCTTTATTCTCTTCAATCCCTATTCACAAGGCTCTGCCTACCCCTGGGAGAGTAGATCTCTCGTATTCGGATCCAAGTTGCGATAAACTGTAGAAACGAAGATAACTCTGTGCTTTTCAATAAAAGAAGATTTTGGAATTTAGTTGTATTTTCAAATGGCCAAGGAAGTCGAAAGAAATTTCATTTTTCATTATTCGGTGTAGCGCTCGGTCGTTCATATGTTTCATTCCACACGTAACTTACGTGTTGATCGGCTGTCCACGCCTTTTCATTTTCCACGCGGCGAAAAAAAATGTGCGGTCTTGATGATGGTTTACTTATTTTATAGAGTTAGCCTGCTCTGTTGCTAATCCAAATATGGTTCTGCCCTCCTTTAATCGCATTTTGAATTCTCTTTCGTGTGATTCCGTCTGTCTTGCTCGTGCTCTTTGGATATCAAGTTGTTGATGTATCATTGATTGTCTTTCCTGTGTAGATTCGTTGTTTACAATAATTTCTTGTTGAGCTTATTAGAAGGTTGTGATCTCCATGAATCTCTTCAACAGTTGCTCTACAAGGACTGTATCTATGCTCGTTTTCTTTTTTCTTTCTAGTCTTATAGCTCGAAATAGTTCT